TGTTAAATAAGCCTGGGGAGTGTGGAAATAGTTCACTTTGACTATGGATCCTGTCTTTTCCCTACCCTTCTCCTTGATGGGAGGCTGTTTCTCTAACTCAGGAAATAAATCAGATTAAAAATTAAAAAATATTGTATGATCACCAGTTAGCTATTATTTCAAGCTCCCTTTGTATATTTCGAAGGGGAACAAATAATTATAAAATTAAGCAACTCGTTAATGTTTGTTGTTTTCTAAAGATAAATCAAGATGTATTGCGAAAGTTTGGAATCCTATCTTGGTCAGTTTATGCAAACAGTATTGGTTTCCAAGACTTTGGATTTGTCTGCATGAACCATTTGCCGAGCTTACTTCATAGTTTGATACATCTAATTTCTGAGGTTTTTTGAATATTGTTGGACAGCCTGATTACGGTTAGACTCACTTTCTGTAATATGTTAAGTATCTTTTGCATAAAAGTTTTAAACAATCTTAACAGTACTATATTTTTCACTGACAGCTAGTAAAATATAATGGGTGTATTCTGATATATGTCAAAATGTATAAAAGAGGATACATAATGACTTCCTGTGGGATAACAAAACTGATTCCCTCTAGAAAAAGGAAATCCTTACAAAGTCACAAGGGATGAGGCCTTGGGTAGTTTGTTAAAGGCTTCTATTAGCGTATGGTCTCATGGATTAATTACCTTCTTGTCTGATTTTTGTTAGTAAATACTAACTTCCTGTAAAAACTTTGTTAGAAATTATAGAGTTTTTGTTAACCAAGTCCTATATGATCTATGTTTACTGTAAGTGACAGATTTTATTTTTGTTTCTGTCATGAAAGAAAATGTATAGCTCAATTATGACTTTTCTTATAGAGGAACAGAGTAAGAAAATTGTAACTTCAACTTCTAATATAACTTTCTGGTGAGAGTAGGGGCTGGTCTATACACAACGTTGTACTAGTTTAACTAAAGGTGTGATGTTAAACCAATGCAATTTTATGTGTGCACACTCTTATGGTGGTTTAAACTTGGTTTGTATCAGTTTAGCTTGCACCTGCAAATAACACCGGTCAGTCAACATATATATTGCTGTATGTCTGGTGTATCCCAGGATACTGGGAGCTCTTTAAATGGAAGAACAGATGTGATAGTCACCTATAAAATATTCACTAATTTCTGCATTGCAGGGTTCTATTGAAAATAGTGATTTTAATCCTCAAAGTCCAATCCTAGCACGCACTGGGATCAACTAAAACCAGAAAGGCTCACTGATTCAGGCTCTGCTCTGTTCCAATGCGCTGGTCAGCAATCTAGAGGGTATATTGCCAGGACACTGAAGAATTCTGTGGGGTTTTGTTGTTTTGTTTTCTATATCACCAATGGGTATTATTGGTAACCATGTTAGTATTTGGGGGTTAGCCCCCCTGTTATGGGTATATAGTATAATGTTCACTATTGAAAACAGTTTTATATTCTTTCTTTTTGGTTTAGCAATATAATACAACTAAGTTGATGTGTTAACAATTGACAGCAAGTTAAAGCAATTTGCCTGCTTTGTATTGCTTTAATAAAGAAATATGCATGTAACAAATTAATTTTCTAGTTTCTCACAAATGTTTGCGTGGCAGTCAGGGTACATCAGAAATGACTGATTAAGAAAAGTACTGTATTATGGTACATCCAAATGAGTGTAATTAATTTAGGCATACAAACATTTGTTCACAAAAAAACTGAAAAAAATTTAAAAGGCAGCGTATTTCTTTGAAGCAAGAGAGAGAAAGAGGGAGAAATGTAATGAGCTGAGCAGGGAGCTAAGTTTTAAGTTGAACTGTTGGTAAGCAACCTTCTGTCTTAATACCAGCCCCATTCACTTTCTTAAATACTGTTTGCTGGGTGGGGACAACACACAAATGAAGGTGAAACAAAACTACCAAAATACATATTTTTGGTTGATCTCCTACGTGTGCATGTCTAATATGACTCTTTTATTGGTGTGTTGTAGAATAAAAAAACAGTCTATCCTATTGTACAAAATGTATCCCATCTATAGCCTGAGCAAAACATAAGTGATTTCCATTGTTGAGATGGTGGGGGAATCACTCTTTGACTTGTATTGCTGTCTATCTAAATCTCTCCTTTGATGTGTTGATTCTGGAAGCACGGGGCGGGGGGGGGGGGGAAGAGAGAGAGAATGGAAGATCCTGGCCTGGCCACAGGTTGGCGGTTTCTGTCCCATATAGTGCCCAGACAGGAAATGGGATGCTGGGATCATGTCGCCCTCCTCGCAAATGTTGGGGGTGCAGTGTTTGGAAAGTACCAGTGGGGGAGGAGGTAGACGAGGGTGGAGGGGAGCTCTCTGAAGATGAGGGTAGGAAATAAGAGTAGAATAACTCCTCCCCATACAGTACAGAGGGGATTAGAGAGAGAAGGAATTCTTAGCAGGCTCCATAGGTCTATTCTGGTAGACGATGGGGCAACTGGGCTTCCACTGATCTGCGGGTCACTGCTCTGTGAGGAGGACATGGAAGGGCCTCCCTAACTAGTAAGCTTAGTGCTCTAGCTAGATTTGTGTGTCTCTGGTAAATCTTCACACTCCACGTTACTGTAATCTCATATTTTAGGAAACAATGAAAGTGTCCTTGTCATATATTTATTTGTCTTGAATTTCAAGCAAAACATTTGATATTATCTTATTTAATCATTTTATCTGCTATCCATTAGACAGCCAACGCAACTGTGATAGCACAAGTAAAACAGAAGGGTTCCTAAAGTGAGATTTATTTGTTTTTCATCCCCCATGAAATATAACCCACCACATCCAAAAATGAAAAACAGTAAGGGATCTGTTCTGCCCTCGCTGCACACATGTAACTCCATTTAACAGCAATGGGAGTAACACACACCCGTTAACCCTTAGAATGCTGGCATTTTTCAGACTGTCAACCAAACAAATGCCTAGGAGGACATGTATAAATGTCCTTTGGAGATTGTATAGCCTGGTGCTATACACTCAGGTCTCCTGGATTCTCTTCTTGATTATGCTACAAACTCCCTGTGTGACCATGGGAAAACTGCATAACCTTTTTGGACCTTCAATTTACCCACCTGCATTGATGAAAATAAAACAGATGTTGTAGCACTAATTTTTTTTCTAAAATACATGGGAATGCTCACATGAAAAGTGTTTCACAAGAAGGAAAAGAGACTCTCAAAGCAGAATCATCCTCTTACTACCAAATTTTGCCTGTGAAAATAGTTTTGGGGCAGTGCATTTTTTAGGGGAGGAGAGGGACTTGCCTGGCTGTATGTTCTTTCCATCTTCCTCCGCCTCCCACACGCTATTCACTTGTGCCAGAATTCTGTTACCCTATGACTATATTTTCCTTTTAAGTACAAACTTCCACAAAGATGGAAAACATGAAATGAAGCTTGCCATCCTAAAAAAAAGTTGAAGATCTCAGGGTGTGCACAAGTCCATTCTAAAAGTCACTTTGTCAGGGCATAATTTACAGAGACTCATCTGCACAGTCATAATTCTGCATTTCTTTCAAACAGCTTACTTTTATACCTTCAGGCATGTGATTTGTCAGGACAGCCTTGTGGGCAAGCGGAGCTTGCTGTAGTGGACTGAAATGACCCAGAACAAACTCGGTAGTTAATCTTCTTTATTGGTGAAATCAATAAGCAGATTCGTGCTAAGTGCTGACAGTTCTTATGTAGGGAGTGAAAAGTAGAAGTGTTTGCTCCTTGAACCTGCAATGTTTTACAGCCCAGTCATTTTGTTTCATTATTTGATAAAGAACTCGTTGCTCCGTCTTGTATTATATGCATAATTTAAATAGCTGTTACATATTTCCTTTGCCCAATGGTTCATATGTTTAAATGTCAAAGCGAATAGATGAATGTACGTATGTTGCCATCTAAACTTATCAGATACAAGGCCCAATTGGGGAACCCTTACTTGCACTCGTGAGAGTAACCTTACTGATCTCAGTGGGGTTACTTAACTGAATAAGTACACACCAACATGGGTAAGGGACACAATCCAACTAATAGAGCTTTAGGGGACTTGTAAAAGATGTCTTAGTTAAAATTTAAGCAAATGCTCATTAAAATAGCAGAGCGCTTTAATGACTAAGGCCCTGATCTTTCAGTATGATGCACACAAATGATCTCTCTCCCTGCACAGAGCCCAGTTGAAGTTGTGGGACTTAAGGATTCATTCATGTGAATGACAATGACAGATTATGGCTTGATCTGGTATATGGCCACTAATAAACCACATTTTCCTTCAAATTCTAGAGCTACTTGAAGTGAGAAATATGCCAGAAAGTTAAATAAGTTTTTCCTGATTATTGAAGTTTTTGCCCTTTTAAGGGCCCAATCCTGAAAACTCTTCTGGATGTAATACTTACTACTGTAACTAGTCTCATTGGAACCAATTAAACTACTCATATTAATAAGAATGACAACAAGTAAATGGCTGCAGGATTGGGCTGAAATTTAGCAGCACAATAAAGAGGTTTATAACATTTGTGAAATTCTGAATAATCATCAACTTCAGATCCAAGTCTTCAGACAGTAACTGGAGGTCTGCACTAAATGGGTTTCTTTTCATGAAGAAGAAATGCAAACTTACTTTGTGTTCCAGGAGTCACAAGATTTAATACATTTTGTAACCATGGAAATGGATATCTTATGACGGAAATAGTGAAGAGAGACTCATTGTGAAAATCTGGCCCATGAAGCCAGTTGCCTGTCTATTAGCTTGTTTATACCATTTCTGTTTGCTTGATATTGGAGAGTAATCAGAAAGTAAGCCATGCTAAATCATAGCTGCCATCAAGTTTGTATGATAACTATTAAAGCTATTTCACAAAACATCCTTTTAAATTCCTCCCTTCCAACCCCATGCTCTTATCTTTGCTTTTACATTTTTGTTTCAACTGTTCCTACTCTTGGGTCTTTCTTAGAGTTGAATCAATAACCCAATCTCTCTCATTTCTTACAGATGTTAAAATGATGAAACTCTCTCTCCCTCTGGAATTCATTGCAGTCATGACATCTCCTCTGGTCCTGTATAGAATGTACCTTGCAGCCTGTTGCTGAACTGTTATGACATGTCTCTAGCAATCAGAAAGAGAAGCTGGGAAGAACATGTGACCCAGTGGATGGGCTTGCCTTTTAATTCTGTTGAGTATAATACAGCATGTCATCATGGACTTGTAGCTGATAACTTTCAAGAAAGTATGGAAAAAGATGAAGTTTTGAATGTGGACCGGAAAGAAAAATGTGCTTCTTTACCAGACTGCTGTCATGGTGGAGAACTGATTGGCTTCCCTGCAAAGCTGCTTAGCAACATTTCAAAAGAGGTGGATGAAAATGATAACCATGAGGATGAGGAGCATTTTCTTTCTTTGGAGGCCAGCACAGAAACTTTGGTCCATATTTCTGATGGTGATGACGACGATGTTTCAAACCTCTGTTTGGATAAAGTTAACCACCAGTTCACTATTGGAAGGAGACTAACAGATGAAGAGCAAAGTTTAGGAGGAGCAGGCTCCTTAACAAATATGGTAGCAATGATTAAAACAAACAGGGAATCTAACATTTCTGAAACAATAGGAGATATTGATGAACTTGACTATGACACAGTCCCCAACGAAGAGAAGGAAGAAGAGGACATTTGTGGCAGTATTGGGAAAACCCTGGAGCTTTGTAATTATAAAGGCTTAAATGAAGTAATAGATGCCCCAAGAGAAAATCTCTCCAGTTCTCTAAATGTGAAGGAAATTATGCCTGAGAAACAGCTGCTTCATACTGCTGTAATTGCACAACAGCGTAGGAAATGTGATGCTCCTAAAGATAGGCATGAAAAGGCTGACTATAACGTGGTCCAGGGTGAGTTTTCTCCTGGTCTGTATACTGGCAGTGGTAGACAACCATTCTCAAAAGCAGACTCCAGCAACTACCTTATGCAATCTCCTCTCAGTTCCCATATAATGTCAATGGAAAATGGACTGGATGAAAGTGGTTACACAGAACCTCAAGTGGTTCCTGAAAAAAAATGCCTTACAAATTTCAGTCCAGTGGAAGGCACGCAATGTTTACATTTGAAGGATAATCTGTCCACCCATGAATCTACAGACAATCAAGTGAAACTGCGCAAAAGAAAGGTAGGATGTACACAAATTACGGGGTTTGGTTTCAGTTTTTGTCAACTTTTTCTCATGTAATCTCATGGCTGATTTATTTAAGCCGTAAGGTAAATATCACTCAGAATGCTGTGTAGATGCCAGGTGTTGCAAATGCTTCTGCGAAACAATTTGGAAACATGCCACATGGATGTAAACTCATTTTTAGATCTGAAAATTACTGTCTTGTGAATTTGGTATGTTCCTTATATTTGTTTATATATATTTTTTTGTTGTGGTGTTTGTTTGTTGTTTGGGTTTTTTTTCTTTGCTAGTACCAAATATCAGAGGTGGTGTTTAGATATAAGTGATGTCTGCAGCTGTATAGGACCTTTGTCTAAAAGGGATGGGGAGGAAAATGTTACAAACTTGTAAAAGAAATTCTAAAATGTCTATATTACTGGCGCTGTGAAGTACAGGAAGCAGCTATTTGAGTTCCAGCAAAGCCCCATGAGCGAGTTCTCACAAAATGTTGCTGGTATGAAGATAGAGGAAGCTCTTGATGTTTTCAGACTGAGAGCAATAAGAAAACTTCACTGGCTCTTCAGACAGGGAAAAGAGAATAATTCCAAAACTCTAAGGGCATGTCTTTGCTACCCACCGGATCGGCGGGTAGCAATCGATCTATTGGGGATCGACTTATCACGTCTAGTGAAGACGCGATAAAATCGATCCCTGATGGCTCTGCCGTTGACTCCGGATATCCACCGTGGCAAGAGGCGGAAGCGGAGTCGACGGCGGCGCAGCAGCAGTCGACTCGCCGCCGTCCTCACAGCCAGGTAAGTTGACCTAAAATACGCAACTTCAGCTACGCTATTCACGTAGCTGAAGTTGCATATCTTAGGTCGACCCCCCCCCCCCCCATAGTGTAGACCTAGCCTAAGGGCCAGATCCCACAATCCCAGCAGGAGCAAAACTCACATTGACTTCCATAGGAGGGATTTGCTGATCATCGGACTGCAGGATTGGGCCCTAAGTCTGTTTCTGCTGGCTGTGTTGCTTAGGGCTTGTCTATGCGGTGTATTAGTACAAGGGTGTGAATTCCAATGCACTCTAGCCTCCTGCACATTAGCTGGCTGGTGTGGGTCTTGGTGGGGTTCACTAACGGTTCCCTAGTGTGTGTTAATTTACTCCTGTTTCAAATCATACCACATTAATGCACATTACATAACTTTTAGTGAGTGCCAACAGGATCCACACAGTACAAGTAGCACATGACACCCTCCTAGTGCAGACTAATGTACTGTGTAAATAAGCCTTTATTCTCTCTATCCAATACCTATGTCATATTGGTGGTTCTTCTCTCTGCCTATCTATCTGCTAACATCCTCAATGAACAATAATCCCCAGCTCGTCTTGTCTTTTTTCAGAAATCTGGTTTCTATAAAGTTGTGGTTTTACCATCAGACAAGATCTTCAGTGTCTTAGTGGTTGTTTCACTAAATCACAACCTCTGAAGCATGAACCAGCATGTCCAAACTGCTGTATGCCAACACAGCATCTTGAGTTGTGGCTATCACTCCCTTGTGTACACTGTTTGGTAACATTAACACTCAGTAAGATTTTGTTATGGTTGGAAGCTATATGTAGCTTTTACAAAAGGCTCTAGAAACTCTCATATCCAGCCTTGCTTTAGAGTCAAATGCTGTACTTCATAACTCTGTAATGACTGTTACATTGATTTAAAGTCACAGTATTTGTGACTTACCTCTGTTAGTTCACTCTTTCCTTTTTATTTCTCTCTGACCTGCCATAGTTACCCCTGAAATCCTTACAATATCACATTTAGCTATCTATATATGTGAGGGTTTGTATATAACACTTGGAAATGCTGCCTTTTTTATTTCCATGGGTGATATCACTGCATTGATTCATTAGCATTGGCTGGTGCTATTATGATGCCCTCAGTAATTCTGCGTTCAGTATATTACTTCTGGGATATGTGTCATTGAAGTGGTAATAGTTGTCAGTTGTCAGATAAGCCACACAGTCAAGAACTGATTTCCATAGACTTTAAATAATCATTTTTTCCCAAATGCAGTTGCTAATTTTGGTGTGTGTATATAATTTATTCAGCTAAACAGATTAATTTTACAGCATATGTATATATTCATATTGTTTGAAACCATATCATTATTTTAAGATAGTACAGTGTGTGATTAGTAATGCTTACAATGGGATTTCAATGCAATGTGATCTGATTAAGATGCTTCCACCTGACATATATATACATATACTAGTCTATGTGCAATAGGAGTATGCAGAATACCTTTTAAATGCAGTGCGCAGCATAAGTATACTTGTGGTTTGTGGTTGCTACAATAGGTATTTTAAAAAGCAAGAATCTTTGAAGATCCCAGTAATACTGCAGTGGAGTACGGTGACAGTTGGGAAATTGTGGGAAGGCAAGCAAGCAAACTAGAGAGAGGGAGCAAGCCAAGAGGCTGTTGGAGAGGAGAATGGAAAATGTCTCAGGGGAAGTGGCAGCCACATGGAAGGAAGGAACCGGAAGTCATATGCATGAGGAAACTGAAAAGGGGTTGTGTTCCAAAGAGCAAGGGAGCTTGGAGGTTATTTTGGGGAGAGCCAATGGAAGCCTGCTTCAAGCGACTTTTTTTAACCTGCCCTTGAAAAGGTTTGGTTAAAAGGAAGAGGTCTGATCTGCTCCTGCTTCCTAGTATGAATATTCTCACTCTCTCTAGATGTGCAGATCCCTTTGCTAAGGGTGTTCCTGCCTTGATGGTTTTATCATTTAAATCTAATCTTATAATATTTTACAAGGATGATATTGCCCATCTCTAGGGACAACAATCGCTAATAAAAATGTGCCATGTTTCTAAGATGACACTGAAAACCACTTTTATAACGAGAACAAAACACTGGAGAGAAAACAGACTTGAAACTGAAACCAACCATAAAAGTCAAGTGTTTGCTTTGCAGTGGCTGGGGGATTTAAGGGATTGGTAATGGGATATAGGGCCTTTTCTCTCAAGGGCAGTAGTTCAACCTAGCCTAAATACTGCAGTTAAGGACTAACGCACACCACTAGCTGTGGATGTTTGCTGTCCAATATGAAATAAATGTGATGGTCTCCGTCCAGTGCCCAATAAATAAGTGTCCACATCACTGCTAATAATAATAATAATAGGCACTTAGGGCCAGATTTGTAAAGGTATTTAGGCACCTAGGCACTTTCAAAAATTCCACTAGGCCCCTATCTGCTTCTATGGGCATCTAAATATATTTAGAAATCTGGCCCTTACTGACATAAGATATCGCACCCTCAAGTGAGAGGCCAAAGAATGTATGGGCATGGCAAGTGAACTACCCTCTCTCTTCCAGAGATGCTCCCTGCTTGTCCAGGTTGAAGCACCCTAGGGTGACGGAGTGGGGAATCTTGTTCTGCTGTTGCCTGTGCTATATCTGCTCTGTAAATAAATACAGGGTCTCAACCTCCAAGACTGCCAGTCAGGTACATTTCACCAGCATTAAATTCCAGCTTAATCATTTGCTTTGACTATGACAGACGTGTACTGTCACAGTTTCACTCATTGAAATGCTTGAACTTGACCCCCCCATGTTATAAATGGAAAGGAGCTGCCATTATGGCATTCTTCATGACTCTGGAAATTGCCTCTTCCCTTGACTCATCAGAGCTTATATTTTTAGCCTGTTTTCTGATGGTGGTTTGTTGAGCAATAGCAGGTGCCTTTATTGTTATGGGAGTAGTTATACAATGTTTAAGTTGCATGGCAGCTGATTAGTATGATATTTGAGTAGTTTTATTGTGTGTTGTGTTGAGTGTGCAGCTTATTATGTAGGGGCATCTAAAACATAGGACCGATGTTTATTAGCAGCATTGCATATCAAAAGAATAAATGATTGAATATGAGACTAACTAGTCGCACTGTATGTCTGCATATGACCATAGCCATGCTGTAAAATCTGTGTCTTCTCAGGCTGTACTAGACTTCAATACCTGCCATAAACAGAGATAGATCTAAGACAGGTCTATGGAATGGAGCATAGCGGGAGCTGTAGAAAGTTATGGGTGGTTTAAGAGATGGCTAAACTGAATAGTTTTGTCTTGTATATTTTTTTCTTCAGTCTCTCTCTAAAACATACACCACTAGCAATGAAATTTGCCAGCATACACACATCTCTGATTGGGGTGTAGAATTGCAGCCTCCAAAGACTTTTGCCTTAGGCTGACAAATGAGGTGCCCTTCAAATTACCACCATATTAGACCAATAATGGAGCATAAGTAGGGGATCTTATTACAGTTGACTGTTCAGAACTGGACTATGGAGGAAAAAAAGAATGTAGGTTTCTGTCTCAAGAGAAAAAAATGTGATTGTCATCACAAAAATCTATAAAGTTTGGAAACATTTATTCTTCATGGGAGACCACAACGCATTTGTGTAAATTATTATTATTACCTTCCTGGCAGTGGCTTACCAGAAGCAGGTACTGGCTACTTGTTGTCATAGCAACAGCTCCAGTTTTGTAGCATTTCCTCTTCAATTAAGTGTTTCAAAATAAGGCTGGCTCCAAGGGTTTGGCAGTTTAACAAATGGAAAAAGCTTTTAAAAAACAGTGATGCAGAATAGAATAATAATTTTTTTATTCTACATTTATGCCCAACATAATCAAAAACTTTTATAGCCTGTTGAAAATCTCACCCCAGGAATACGACTATAGCTACAGCACAGATTGGCATATGTATTATTGATCTAAGAGAGAGAAAAAGCATAAAAGGAGGAAGACTAGAATTATGGGATACATTTTCAATAGCGGGGACCACAAACGAGTGCACATGCATCCAATCACCAAACATCCCTGCTCTTTCCCCATGTGCATATGAAAATGGAGTAATGATGCCAACAAACTGGTACTTAGCAGAGCACTTAAATAGCATATTTCATTTTCAAAGGACTTTTCCAAGATAACAAAGATAAATTTAGATTGGTGTTCAATAACC